AAGAGAAAGGGAAGGGTAGAAGGGGGAGAAATTGGAGAAATTTTGCAGGTTCAATGTTTCCAAAATTATATGGAAAGTGGTTAGTTAACAAAGTTAATAAGTGGTCAGTTAATAAAGATTTCTTACTATTTGAGATAGGAAAATGTTAATTTCTCTGAAGAGGCCAGATGGAGAGATGAGCAGCTGTCTTTAGACTAAAGGGCTAGAAAGAGTCATACACACAGTTCAAATGCAAAAAGTATACTAGCCTCAGCAAGTAAAAGCCATTTACAACAAAAAACATTTGAAGCTCAGCTACCCTAACAGACTTGCACACCACTCAAGTGTCAACTTTGTCTCTTGCATTAACCGGGAATTTCACCTTGTCAGAAAAGAAAAGAAGAAAAAAAAAAACAACTCAGCTAGGAGAAATGCAAAATTTAGAGATACATCAAGCCAAAGTGCTCCAAAGGTGTGATAAAGGCAGGGGAAAGAAAAAAAAAACAACCACAGGACAAATAGTAACACTTCCATTCTCAATAGTGCAGGGACATGACTACATCACCATAAACTCTGGGAGCAAACATGCCAACCTTGCAGGAGGGCAGAGGCTGCCTGCACTGACCCCAGGAAGGCATGTAGGCAAGAGTAGCACCAGACCCAAGTTGTGCCACAAAAGCACGTCTACATGGGCTGAACACCCAGCAGTGTAAGCAGCTATGGTGAGCTGAGTTCTTGGAGAGCAGCCCCCAGTCCCAGATCTCTCGCCAGCCCTGTGGAAAGGAGGCTTGCTCCTCCTGATCCCACCTCCTGCTCAGCTCTCTCTTCTTCCTCCTGCTCTTGGACCTGTTCTTCATCCTGGCACAGTCTCTCTTCTTCCTTGATAACTACATTTTCCTCCTGGATCTCCTTCATGCTTTCTTGATCCAGCTGGATCTGCTCCAGTTTGACTTCAGCTTCCCTCACACCACCGTCCTCTTCTTCATACAACTGTCGTGGAGGCCTGGAGGTGGAGGAGAAAGGTCAAAGAAGCAAAACACATTATTATGAGCCTACAGGCACCATGAGGTGTCTCAGACCTCTAGAAATTCAATTTCATCACTTCCCCAAGTCTAAATCATCGAGTGTTTTACACCAGGGCTCACAGCCACTTCACAATACACAGTTCCAGGCACACAGATGTAACAGTAGTTGCAGCACACTCCCACACTTTGAACATCCAAGACACAACTCAGCTAAGACTTATGGCAGCACTGAAGGTATCTGCACCTTTTCAGCCTCACCACAGGCAAGACCCACAGGAGAACAGAGATCAAACCTCTGCCCAGACCCCAGGCAGAGAGGACACTACCACCATGATGTGGTGCAGTCTGACATCTTTGCTCAGCTACAGCCACCATTCCAGGTGAAGCACTGTGCTCTGTGGTCCTGGTGCACAAACACAGCTCTGACACTGCCCCTACAGTTCCCACCATCAACTCAACTTGAAGCACCAGTCTTCCTCTGCTTAAACTCACCTTCCACAACAACAGATACCCTCACTGGCCTGGGATCCAACCAACAACACGTGAATATGCTTCCCAAGGTTGCCCTTTTCCCCAGCTGAAGATAAACTGCAGGGCAAGGCTGTACAGCCACTCACATGGGATTTTTTGTGTTTGAGGTGGTTTTATGGGGGGTTTTGTTTGGCTTTTTTGCAAGGCACAGTGCATTGCAACCAATGCTATACCGACACCTGACCCTGAGCCTCAGATTTGACCACTGGAATTAATTATACCTCTACTCGTGTCACTTATGTCATACCCCAGCAAAACAAAGGAGTTCCCAAGCAGCCAGGGTCACCCTTTAGCTGAAGTTTAAAAAACAACAACAAGGTTTGTACAAGATGCAGGTCTCCGAGGCTGCAGAGAGAAGATGCAGGAATATCTTTATGTAATCAGCTTTGCAGAAGCAGAGCAACCCATCCTCTGGGGCACAGAGTCAGCAGAAGCACATAACCCCAGGGCTCTTCCTGGCTCACAGCCATGTACCAAGATGTTATTGCCCTCTTACTTGCCCTGGCCAGAGAATAGCTTATTTGTTCCACCCATTTCTTAGAAAATGACCCAGCTTGTGACAGCAAAGCTAGAGAGTTGGCTAGCAGGCAGCTGCCAAAGTGCAAGGCTGACTCACCAGCCAGCACCAAAACATGGAAAAGAGTTGTTTGAACTCTTTTCCACCCACCTCTCTGCTGCTGGGAAGGCAGCTCACAGGACAGCCATCATCCAGCCTTCCTCACTGACCACATGGGGAAAAAGCTGATGCATCTGCTGGCTCGCTTGGCTTGCTACTAATCATCCTCCCACTGCTATGAAGTCACCAACAGACTCTGAAGGACCCGATAACTAGTTTCTCTTAACCAGGATGCCAGCAATGCCTCCAGCTAAAGCACAGGCTCACATTAAAAATTAAGACCAGCAGATATTATGCAGTCTATAGGATGCCTTTTGCATCACAGCAATTTTGTATGGGAGGCAGCTAGTCTGACACAGCTCCTATCCTCTTGCATGTAGCTGATAGCATGGATCTCTCATCACAGAGGGAAACCAGAACCAAAAAGAAAGTGTGCCTTAATGCCTAGACCCTCAGGGGATGTGTAAGCTGTTTTAGTTCCATCCAACAAAGAGCAACTGGCTCCATCCCCTCATTTATAACCCCCACAAAAACATTCTTCACATGAAAAAAATAAGGTTTGGTCTATATTCAGTTAAGCAAGAGAAAGAAAAGTTGGGAAACCCCAGCCAAGCACACACCCTACCTGTGCTCACACCACACTCCAGGCCTATCCTTCAGCTGAAGAAGGTGAGGAAGGACAAAGCTCCTGAAGAAACTTTAAAAGGCACAGCCCCCTGTGCAGGAAGCAAGCCCAGCTTTTGCAAAAAGCCTATTCCTTTAAAGCACCATCCCTCTCTGATGAGTTTCACCTGCCACAGGTATCACCTCCCCTCAGCACCCTTCCAAGAAACACAAGCATCATAAAAACCCAAGAAGCAATTTCTGGAGAGGATAATGCAACCTTTCCAGCTAATTCTCTTTTGAAAGCTAAGGAGGGAATAGCATCAGCCAGACAAGCTCTTTGTAAGGGGAGTAGAAAAAGAGGCAGCATGCTGAAAAGCAGATGGGGCTAATTTCTAATTGCTCCCACAGATATGATAATCAACATCACAGGGAGGTGCTTGAGCAATACTTGTGTGGTCAGGGCTGCAAAGGTACAGCTTGCAGAGTGGTTCAGCTACAGTGTTTAGAAAAAGTAAGAACGAGGAGAGCTCAATTTATTTGTTCAACAGTAAATATTAATCTTAGACATTTTTTCAGTCTCAGAGGTAAAGAAGCTGTGTCATCCCACGGGCAAAATTCCCTATAACATCAAGCTGCCAAGAGAGCTGAGTTACAGAGTTCACATGCAGGTAGATGGTGTCCAAGGGAAGTGGTTAAGGCAGGAGTTTGTTTCAGCTCAGCAAAGGGAGAGTGACAGGAGATGGGGACTAAACAGCTGGCACACACACACCTCTCAGGGTTCTGTGCTGTCTGCGTTCCCCTCCTGAAAGAGGAGTTGAGCACAAAGTGGGCTGGGGCCAAAACACCCACTATGCTGACATGAGCCAGGAAGCAGCAGTAACTTAAAACAGCTTTTTAGGCTGGCCTGGATTATGTTAGAGGCTGTTTTGGTCCCTGCAGCAGCTCAGGTGGCTTAAATCCTTTGTTGTCACTCCTCCAAACCCAGGCGTCCTGGCAGGCTGCCATTGCTTGGAGCCCAAAGCTCAGTCCAAACATCCCCAAAGCCGAGGGCAATCCCTGAGCCTCTTCCTCCCTGCCAGCCCAAATGGCAGGCGGAGAGCATCTATCCCAGCAGTGTGGGGCCCATCCAGCTTTGCTGATGCTCCAGCCTCTGGCCTTGTTCTTATGCATGCTAGGCTTGACCTGGGCTTGGTCACCCCTCCTAAGGGATGGTTCTTTTGCTGGGCACATTAGTTCCCCTCTCCTCGGTCTGGCTGTGTCCTACCCACCTCTGCTTGTGCTGCTCGAGCTTCTGGGACCAGTCACTGAACCCCTCATCCTCCTCCAGCTCCAAAGTCCCGGATGGCTTAAAGTCATAGCTGAAACACAGCAAGAAGGAAAATGAGGGATGAGAGGATGCAAAAAAATCCTAAACCTGGCCTGAAAGAACCCCAGCCTAATACTGTCCTTCTCTCCCTTCAGTTACTGGAGAAGGAAGAAATTATAAGAAATAAATATTTTAGTATGAATGGTGAGACACTGGCACATGTTGCCCAGGGTCATGGTAGATGCCCTGACCCTGGAAACATTCAAGGTCGGGTTGGATGGAGCTCTAAGCAACCTGATCAAATTGAAGATGTCCCTGCTCATGGCAGGGATGTTGGACTAGATGGCTTTTAAAGATTCCTTCTAACACAAATTGATTCTAACACAAATCATATTCTATGATACAATTGCATCTTCTTTCCTCTGGCTGCTCCTAAATCCCACTTGAAGCTTTATCAGGTTACAGGAAAGACATCTTTGCCACATGCTTAGGAGTGCCCTTGTACAAAGGGGGTCTCTCAGGGCATCACTGCAAGACAGAGAGGAAGAAGGAGCAGCTCTGTGTCTCTAGCAGGAGCACCCCACTGCCTGTCTGGTCTCTTGGGCCACACGTGGGCAAGCAAAAGACAAGTAGCACATCAAAAATAAAAAGTCCATGGTTTTCTTATGCACAGGAGCTGGCCTTAGCTTGTTTGAACTAGAGGTGTTTCAAACTTGATTGCTGTTTGTCCTATGCTTGTACACAGCCCCACTGAAAAGACATGAGCAGAAGCTAGCCTAAGCAGATAGCTGGATGATGATGGCATGAAGACCCAAAGATTAGTACACTGTCTCCAATTCTGGGTTGGATCCTCATGTCCCCCTACAGCTTTGGGCCAGTCACATGCATTTGCATGACTGTGGCACCCCGACTGTGGATAATCTACTGCTGTACAAAGCCACAGCCCTGCCAGAGCACATAGATGCCAGCACTAGATGTGGTCTCACCATGCGTGGGAATTACTGGTGTTTTACCTATTTCTTTCCTTGCTTTCGCAAGGACAATCACCTCTCGGCTGAGGCCAATTGTATGGAGTTTAACAAGGCCAAGTGCCGGGTCCTGCA